GATAAATCGGTTGAAAACCCGTTTAAATGATTTAAGGTCTTTTCTTTTTAGTTTTTTTATCTTCTTAAATATATTTCGTACGTTTTCTATGCGCTGTTTGGCCTCTTCGGCCGCATTCTCTGCCTTCTTGGCGATTTCTTCGGTCCGATCAAGATCAGCTCTGGCTTTTTGCATGCAATGGTTCAAATCTTCTACCCGCTTTTTGCTGTCTATTATCAGCATTTGCTTTTCCTGCAGCTCGGTATTGGCATTGGCTGCAACTTCCAGAACTTGCTCCAAATTATTTCTTGATTCTTCCAGAACGTTCTGCATTAGCTCCAGATGCTGTTTGATGTGTTGGGCCACGCGCAAAGCCGTCTCAATGTTGGATTCGCTATGTCGTAGCGCCTTTTTGACCTCCTCTACGACGGCATCGGCCTCGATCTGACTCTGTTCCAGCTGTTCGAGCAACTGCTTCTTGCCATTCAGTGCAGCCTCAGCCGCTCGAGCGGCCTGCTCAGCCTTATCGGCCAAGCGATTCATGGTTCGCCGGCTGGCCTCCTCGCTGGCACAGTTTTGTGCATCCTTGGCCGCCGTCGCCTCATTAGCTGCATTCGAGGCAATTTTCGTGGATTTCAAGTTGATCTTGCAGTATTCCGGATCGCCGCCCTGCTTATGACATTTCTTCATATGATGAGACGTTTTGCGATTGCACGCCGGCTGTACTCCGATCACCAGTACGATGCTCATTGTGAAGATCAACACCAGGGGCTCGCAACGCATTGGAAATTTGGCATCTTACAAAATTCTCCAAGCTCAGCTGTCAGCATTGATTATTTGAATACAATATATTCTCAGCTGTAATCAGAAAAGGCATCTGAAACTGTACAGAATGACTGCTAAGGCTGCACTGCTTCTATTCCTGTTGCTCTGCCCTCTGTTCTGGACTCAAGCCTTTGGCTACAAGACGGGTAAGGTAAGTGCTTGACATCTACTTTCCGAGTCCGTTGACAATATGGTAAATGAATGCATTTCAGTCCCAGAAGCGATCTATAGGTTTATCCAGCTTACATTATGATGATGGGCAAAATGAGGGCATGGAAGATTGTAAGAAGGATGCTAGCGATGATGCCAATGTGCGAGTGCCCATTAATTCGGTGCCGCGACAAAAGGCCTCCTGCATTGCCATGAAGGCAGCACAAGAAGCGAAAGCTGCATCCGATGCTCAGCTGCCGGCCGCGGAAAATGCTGCTCACCAGGTTAAGATGCAGCTGGCAGACAAGGCGCTGGCCGCAGCAAATGCCGCAGAGGCTGCTCTGGCGGGCAAAAAGCAAATCGTTGATCAACTCGAATCGGAGGTGCGTGAAGGTGAGCTCGTCGTCCAGGAAGAGTCCGGCTCACTGCAAGCATCGCAGGGCAACTGCAACGCAGCCACACAGGCGGCCAAGCAGGCTGGCTTACAGGTGAAGTCCTTGAGCGATGCCGTCAAGAACGCCCAGGCCAATGTGCTTAACTCGGAACAGGCGGCCAACGGTGCCCAGCAGGAGCTCATCGAGAAACAGCAGCTAGTGGAGGCCGCCAAAAAGCGTGTTGAATTGCTCCTCCGCCAGCTGGACGGTGCACGAACCGATTTCAGGAATACCCAAAAGGCGGCCGAGCGTGCCGCGGGCGCCGCCCAGGAAGCCAAACAGCGCGCCTCCCGGGAACGCCGCATGGCCGAAATACGCTTCAAGCTGCATCAGCATATGCATCAGTAAATACAATCATATAAAATACTCCTTATTTATTTTTCAATAAATTTCCTTTTTCTTTTTGCTCAATATATCCCTTTGTGAAGCTGCTCTTTAAGTAAATAGATGAATGCGTAAATAGATGCATATATATAATTTTATACTAGAAGTGTTCAAGCAATATCTAAATATATGAATATGGTGCGGGTTTTTTTTATCTGTATATATAAAGCTTGACTTTGTCCTGACTGACTGATTCGTAGATCGGCTAGATCGTCTCGGCTATTGATGCTGATCAAGTATATATATATATAGTTTATCGGGTCGGAGCTGTTTCCTTCTGCCTGTTACATACATTTGCACAAATGGATTATACCTCGTTTAACCCAGTTGTATGAAAATGCGTAATAAAAATATTTTACCCTAGCCTTGTCTGGGTTAGCTTTTAAGATAAAACATAAAACATCACTTCCACGCATTTTCCGCACTTCTTTTCGAATTTAAAACTAAGCGGATAGTGAATAATACAACTGTATTCCACCAATTTTCCACATTTGTAGGTGAAATCTTTCCCAAAACTCAAGCTACTTCTTCTTTGTTGATGATCAAACAACAAAAATAAGAAGATAGTTGGGAATATTTTAATTATTTTGCATTAGACAAATGAACTACTATTGCGCCATAATAAAGCTAATTAGTAGCTGACACTATCTATGTTAGCTAGAGTCTGGCCAGGGATAGAGTACTGGTGCTTGTCATGCTGCCGCAATCGCCTGCACAATTGCCTGCTTCGAGTGAGTCCACCGAATGCGACAGATTATCGGCCGCACTTGGCAAGAGTTCCAGGCTGAGAGCGTGTGTATTGTAGCAGAGGACCAGCTTGGTCTTCAGACCCTCGAATATGCTAACCACACTTGGCTTGAGATTAAAGAAAATGATTTTTTGCTGACGCTGTTGAAAATCTTCCACCATGGAGGAGATTACTTTGGCGGCGGTGAAGTCGGCTGCAAATATGTACGTACAATCGATGACAATGGGCAGCGTTGTCTTGCTGCCGGACTTGAGCACCATGTTCCTAACGAACTCCACGGAGGGAAATATGAGGCAACGATCTGGCGTGATCTTTATAAACTTAATGCCATGCTCCGTCTCCAGCTGCTCCAGCGTTATCCTGGGCCGTGCCGCGTGATAGAGTATATAGAGCTGATTAGCTCCAATGGCCACAACGATGCCTATCTCTAGGGGAAGCACCAGGCAGGTGATGAACGCCAGCAGTCCAGGCACAAGATCAGCGCCTGTAAATGCGGATATTCCAAATAAACGCTTGCCGGCGCTGAAGCCATCAACTTACGTTTGCTGCGCCACATGGGCACCACGATCTGGTACTGCACCTGGAACACTACGGCCGATATGATGATGGCAGCCAGCACAGCCTTGGGAATGAAGTAAAAGTACTCGGTGAGGTAACTTATCGATAGCACCACGATAATGCCAATATATAGATTGGACATATTGGTGCGACAGCCGCTGGCATTGTTGACGGCGGAACGGGCCAGGCCGCCGTTGCTGCGATAGCCACTAACCAGGGAGGTGGCGACGTTGGCCACGCCGGTGGCAAATAGTTCCTGGCTGACATCGATCTGCTTGTCCTTGGCAAATGCCTTGCAGACGGACACGTTCTCCAGCAGCGCTATGATCGGCACTATAACCAGGCCATAGCCCAGGCTGTGCACCATTTCGAGGAAGGTTTCGCCTGGTACAGCGGGTATGCCAGCTGTGGCATTGGCCGGCTGCGCCTCGATCGTAAAGTTTGGCAACGACACTGTGGGCAGACCAGGTGGTATGTAGCCTGTCAGCCGGAACGGATTCATGCTGTTCGCCTCCAGATGCATGGCCACCAAGGTGGCGCCAATGACAACAGTCGCATTGCGGGTGACGCCGACAAATTTGATCACCTCGTTGAGCACACGTTGCAGCTGACTACGCTCGGACTTCTCCTTGGGGCCAATGCGTAGTTGGCTTAGGCTGCGTATGACCAGCAATAGCGCCAGGCAGCCAAAGCCCAAGCAGCTGTCCCAAATGCGTATGTTTTCAATATCGCGCAACATGCTGATCCAGCTCTGTAGAAACGAGCCGCCCTCACTGTTCACACCCAAAATGTACTTCATCTGCGAGGTGAGCACAATTAGTGATACGGCACTGGTGAAGCCCGCGCTCACCGGGCCGGAGACAAACTCCACTAGGCAGCCCAGCTTAAAGATGGCCATAAGAATCTCAATGATGCCGGTGAGAAAGGTGAGCAGCACTGAATGTGCCCAGGAGCCGTGGGCGAACTGATATGTCATCAGCGAGGCGACGGCGGTGCTGCCAATGGTGTTATCCTTGCAGGTGCCCAACAGAACGTACACAAAACAGCCCAAGAAGGAGCCATAGAGACCCGACTCTGCGGGCAGGCCCACCACGCCCGAATAGGCCAAGCCCTGTGGTATGACCGTTAGCCCAACTGTAAATCCGGCTATAAGATCACCGACGGCATCGTTCCTGTTGTACTTGGGCAGCCATTCAATAATGGGCAGGCGCTTCTTTAGCGTCTTCATGCGACACGCACTCCTCGCATAGCTCATGCAACACGAAGCTATTGTTTCATTGTCCGGCTTGACCGCCTCCAGTTGTTCGAGGCTCTTGTACTTGGAGGTGCGATGATCTTGGATCAGTATGAAGTCCGTGGAGGAACTACGAAACTGCGCCTCCAGTTCCTGACTCACTTCAGCGCGCCTACGAAACGTCACCTCCGTCTCAAGTGTGGACATTGTGCATATGCCTATGCTTAGATTCGATGTCTCTTGCTGTTAGCTTCGCCGTGCGGCAACTAACTGAAAGCTAGCGCCGGATGCTGTGCGGCTGACACGCAATCTTATCGAAGCTGCCCATGTTTGTCCAGTCGAAATATGTGGAAACGGGACGCCGGTTGTTTGTTTCGGCCACACGACTTGCTGTTAATTACGCGACACTCTTGTTTGGCCTGGCATTGTTGGCCCTGTCAACTGGCACAGCTGTCCCCGTTGCTTTAAAATTTTTCCATTTATCAATTTGAGACGGTTTTCAACGATAAATTGGGCGCGCAAATTATCACATATTAGCTATTATTTCTTGGAGAAATATTTACATTAATCGGAAGCAGCGAAATTGAAGCGAACGATTTCGGAAACCCAATACGCATTTCACATCATTTTTGTAAATTTTTTTTTTGTTTTTTTATTTTTATTTTTTTTGGTTTATTTAATTTTAAAATTTTTACATGATTTTTAAAAGTTGTATTTTAAAAGCATCGCATTAGATCATATAAAGTATGATATATCATTACAATATACAATTGTATCCGTTTTTGTTTATATGCGTAGTTAAACATAGGTTGTAATATTATGTTTAAGCAATTTTATAATTCAATAGCAGTAAATTGTTTCAGAGACCATGGCTATATGTATATGTATCATATGTGAATATGAATATATATATATTTATTTATATATATATGTATATATAAGTATTATATATGTATGTGTATGCATGTAAATATAAGCTCAAGCACTTTCCATGTGCACTCTCTTCTTTAAAAACTAAACGAAATAAAACAAATTAAATTTTGAATTTAACCGAATATAAAAACAACAACAAAAGGTAGTTTTAAAATTACAATCTTTGCAAAAAGAGCGCGTGTGAAGCGGCCGCGTAAAAATCCGACAAATCCGAAATTGACAATTGCTTAAGGAAAACATTTTTTTTTTGTTAAGGTGACAAAAGCGTTAATTCGATTTGGTAATTGTAAATTTTAACAATGTCAATTTCTAGATAAAATTAATTTCAATTTGTTTGTGTGTGTGTAGATGTACATATGTGTGTGTGTGTGTGTGCTTGACAACAAACAATCGCATTACTCAAATAACAATTGATTAGGTATATACGCAGATAAACGAACACAAGGCCCATATCTGGCCAAAAAAAAAAAAATTATAATAATAATTATAATTAAATCATATAGAACGCAACAAACATTGAAACAAAAGAATTGCGCGACCAGCGAGTGGCACAACTTTTGTAAAACAACAACAACAAGTATGATATATATATATTAACTATATGTAGTTCATATAAGCACATATATCGAGTATATGATGGCGATGCCAAAAGGTCCCGGTGCCTACGGCCAAGCACCAATGGTATAGTTCCTGGTCAGGTGACCCATGCGACGCTGGCGACCAACTGCAAAAATATGGTTGAAAATATAAGTATAATTGGTAAAATGCAATTGATTCAACTGCAGTTGAGGCATGTTATGAGACGTAACACCAACAGCGGATCAGAAAAATGGTTAAAAATATATATTTAAAAATAAACGAAGCATGACGCACGATACAATTGCACTTGCTGATATCAAGTGTCAACATTGAGTTTATATTATTATTGAGAATATGTTGCTTAAGATTGACTTAAGGCCAGCCAAGCTGTGACATAAATATTTGCTAAGCTACTTATAAGCTATGCACGCGTTAGAATTGACGCCCAACTTAAAGATACATATGCGATATTTTATATCTATCAGATACTTTACGTACTGCTTGTTAACATCATTCTTCGGTGTTAGTTTTGCGGCTGGTTGTTGGGTGTGGGTCGTTTGGGTGGTGTTGTGCTTGTTGTTGTTGTTGTAGTTGCGGTTACACAGAGGACGGTGTTTAACAGTCAACAGGAGGGGAAAATCACAAGATGGTTGTTGTTGTTGTTGTACTTGTTGTTGAGCTGAACACAGAGAATACTTGTTGCAGTTGTTGTTCTTGTTGTAGTTGCATCAGCCGGTTCTGGTGTTGTTGTTGTTGTTAATTAGTACATAAGTAGTTGGACAATAAGAACAAAGACACACACACGCGCTCACACACAAACAAAGGTTGTTGTTGCTGTTGTTGTTGGTTGGTTGGTTGGTTGGTTGGTTGGTTGGTTGTGGCATGTTTTGTCTTTTTATTTACGCTGATTGAGGCGATTCACACGTACTGTAAGACATAAAGAGAAAGATAGAGGAAAGATTGGGGAGAGAGAAGAAACAAATACAATGTGATTAGTCAAAATTGTAACAATAAACAAAAGGTATTATTATTATTTTTGGGATTGTTAATCAAAATATACAACAAATTGTCAAATATTCAATCGATCAATCAATCAATCATTTGGATACAACATTCAAGGCTAGGCGTTAAGTACGCCTATTTTTGTTTAGTAGTCGGCATAAAGAGCTGCTCGCAAGTCAAGAAAGGTTTGAGTAACGTCTCTTAAGAACTAGTTTTATTTTGGGGGCTGGTTTAAGCAAAAGTTGCAGCTGCGGCGGGATATTAATTAGTTGGGCTTATGTTAATGCTGCTTATGTTAACGCTTTTGGCAATTGAATTTTATCACAAACAACAACGAGCTGAGTAAAATTGTTTTGGGTACCAACTGTTCGATATGGTGTAATGCTAGGTACTTGTTTGGCTTTGTTGTTCTTGTTGTTCTGGTTGTTGTTGTTGTTGTTCATGTGCTGCTGCTTTTGTTGTTGTAAAGTTTGTTGAATTATAAAACGAGCATAAACATTTGGATGTTCGGCATTTAATGTAGCAGTTCTTGCGAATTTCTCTTTTATGATTTTCACTTGACTTTAATATTTATATAATTTTTATTGCAGTTATTCGTGGTTGCTGTTGATTTTTTTTTTATTGGTGTTTAATTTTTTAGTTTTACTTAAAGATTGTACATCGCAGTTTAATTCCTATACGAAGAGAAGTTTATTAGTGCTCAGTAAATTTGACAGCAACTTCTGAATGTGTTTAGTAAAAGCAGATGGTTGGGTATGAGTTATATGAGTTGTGATGCCTGTGCGGGTCAGGTGTGAGTGTGGCATGCAACACAGGTGAGGGGCAACAACATGCAATGGGTGGGTTATAACTTGATTATACTATCATTTATGCTATGATGCATTTAACAATAACTGAACAAACAATGCTTTTGGGTAGTAGAAAAAGATCAGTAGTACGCTAAACAGTCTTGAGTTATGATTATTTTTTGAAGGCCAATTTCGACTACATATAATATATTTTGGACTATATGCATATACTATATGCGGCATCATTCAATTTAAGAATGCTTTTTGGTGTTAGGCGTTTTTGTTCGCAACGCTTGCATATATGAATTATATATAAAAAGAAACGTTTTACGTAGAATTCGTGTTCATAGATACCTGTGTTAGAGATTAGACAAAATTATACACATTACGCCTAAAGATTTTTTGCTGTGGTTAGATGCCTTGACTTTTGTCGTAAATCAGTTTCAAATATATCTCTTCTCTCTATATATGCTTGTATCGTAGATATGTATACATATGTATTTACATATTTTTATGTATCTCTGGTTCGTTCTGCGCATTATAAGTATGTGTATATGTATGTGTATATATATATGTATATATTTATTATTTACTTCTTGGTCTCTCTAACGTATTTAGATGCCAGCATTGCTGCTGTTGCTTCTTTCTTTAGTTTTTTTTATTTTTTATATATTGTTTACACGTTTAATTTACATAGATTAAACTTGTTTGTTTTTTTTTTTATACGGTTTTTTAATTTTTAAATTACAAAACGCTTTAAAAATGTTTAGTTTAGTTGCTTTTTGATTTATGTTTTTTTATTTTTCATTTATATGGGGTTTTATTGAATTCTTGTTGATTTTCTATGAAGATTATTGAAAAATCTGAACTGCAGGCGTAATTCAAGATCTTTTCTTACTGTAAACGAGAAACAGAAAGAGATAGAGAGTGAAATAGTACACACACACAAAAAAAAAAAAAAACATTAGACGAAACACATATAAGAAATAATGTAAAGCGTATTGTTGAGTCGACAAACTTGACTTTTGACTGGGAGAATTGTCCGTCTGTCACATGTCGACAGGGGAAAGAGAACAGACAACTGAGTTGGGAATAAAACAAGATACAAAAACTGGTGGTATGCCCTCAGAGAAGTTTTTTTGGGGGGCATTTCGGGTTGTTAGTAGCGCACAGCTAATGCTGATGGATGGGCGTGTCCCAGTTATATACAAAATGATACAAAATGCATGAGCGGAGCTGCTGATAACGACGACAACAATCAGGTATGGATGGAATTACATTTGTATTTTATATTGAGCTGAGTTTTATATACACGTTTTTGGTCTGCAAGAGGTTTAGAGTTGGATCTGGTAATGGACAGTACGAGCTTTACTGTACACCATGGCCAAAACACAAAAATTGTTGGTGGAGTAAGAGGCAACAACAACAACAACGTTACTACAAATCGAGGTGAGGCGAGGTGAGAGAACTGATCGAGTGGCGGCTGTCTGACTGTCTGTACATTGGGGCTGTGTTTTTTGGGCGGGCTCCGCTCCTGTGTGCATGGTGATGTATACTGTTGGGTGGTGGTTGGTGGCTTCACTCACGTGTGCGCTTGATAGACGCCCTCGTCATCGTAGTTGGGCGTCACGGCCCGACTGCCGGGCACCACCATGTTATCGGGATCGATCTCTGGATCGAAGGCATCGCCGCCGCCGCCGCGTATAACCATATTATCGGGATCGACCTCCACATCATAGTCAGCCGGCGGCTGTGGCGACGGTGAGGGCGATGGTGACGGCGAGGGCGTGGCCGAGTTGGCCAGATCACGTTCAATCTCCATGTTGCTGGGCAATATCAATTTGGGCAAATTGGGTTTAAGTTTTTGCACCCGGAAGACTGAAGATCGTTTGGAAATTTGTTGTTGTTGTTGGTTGATTGGTTGGTTGGTTTGTTGGTTGATTGGTGACGTTTGTTTAATATACACAGTGGACAAGTCGAGTTGAGGGGCATACAGTTTGATAATTTTGGGATTTAAATATACATAACAGATAATTGGTTAATAATGCTTCAAATCATATCGCAGTGTAGACAAATTGTCAAACATTCTATGGTATATACAAGACACAAGGATTGCTCAACAGCACTAACGAGGAACGAGAGACAACACGGAGGAATTTCTAAAAGGGGAGCACTGTACACACAAACGAGTCGAAATAGCGTATGTATGTGAAGAATGACATTGAATTTCGTAAATCTGGCTTAGTATGTAATACTGACTTAGCAAATTGATAAACTAAAATATAATTTAATCATATATAAGTATTAATTTAGACAAAAGATGAGCGGCTGCTGATGAGTTTTGATCAAATGAGTGAGCGAATGTGATCTTAAATAAGCTCCACTTAGGTATATATATATGTATATGTATTTAAATGTAGGCCACGTAGTGACGCAACAAGTAACGCAACGTAACGCAACGCAACGAGAAACGCAACGTAACGAGGTGAGAGGTGATAACGAGAACGTGAACGTGAACGCAACGAACGATTTGTGGTGAGAAATGTACTGAACTGTTAGGCTAAACGACTGGACTATAAATAGATGCTAAGACGTTGGTCGGGGTCACGAAACGATAACTTTTTACCTTATTGCCCACAAAAGAGAAACAGAGAGGGGAATATAAGTATATCAACTACTTTTTGGTTACCAACGCGTTTTGGGGTCTAGTAAGGATATCCAAACTTAGATTTCCTTTTCATTCTCAGTGCGCAAAAGGTGTAAGGCAGCTGACGATGTGGAGGCTTCCGCTGCGACTCCAGTTGTGGCTGCTGCTGAGTTCGACTGCAGATTGCGCGCAATGCGCCCTGATGGCAAAACAGGATCAGAATCTTTTGCATTAGTCCAAGTTCGGGCCTTGACAAACTGCTCGAAAGCAGCCAAGCTTTTGGCCTTTGAGTGTGAGATGGTTGCTGATGAGCGAGATGCAGATGCTGATGCGGATGCGGATGGGGATGACGGTGGCGAAGCGTCGGCGCGGAAAGCTAACGTACCTTGTTGCAATTCACCTAAACGCGAGAGTGAGGTACACACGAGTTGCTCATGAATAAAGACCTATAGATACATAAGTTGCTTATCTATATAATCAAAGGGATCGCGAGCCTATCGAGCAAAGTGGCAAACGTAGAACCAACGCTGACAACCTGCAAATATTGTGTGGGGACAAGCCGCAGCCAATGGCAACGGCCAACTTACTTCTGTCGATGTTGCGCTGCAGATGGGCGGCCACGCGATGACGCGCATCGTTGAACTCCAGATGCAAGCCAAGTCGCAGAAGCGACGAGTTCTTCTCCACCAAATTGGTGATCTCCATTTCAATCTTGTTGCCAAGCACCGCAGATCGCTGTGAACAAGTTATTGGGCGAATTTAGCTAATGCTTTAAGCAATAATCAGTAATATATGTATATGCTACTCACTTGATTGGAGGCCCTGAACTCCTCGATGGTGCGACATTTGAGCAGGGCTTGCACGAGCCTAACAATTACGGGCGGACTGATAAAGTTGGTTTCAACATTTAATACTCTCAGGGTTTTGCTTTTCTCGATCGCTTCGGCGAGCAGGAGAGCTGTCTTATCGGTCAGGCCGACGTTTGTCAGCGATAGAACTTCCAAATGTTCATTCTGAGGCAGTGCGGCAAAGAGTTGTTCGAGCTTCTCATCCGATATATTCTGCAGCCATATTTCCAATTAGCATATTTCTTTAGTTTCAAAGGTGTTGAGTACATACCTTAATGTTATTCAAGTTCAGGTCAATCAGCTTGGAATCATCATCCTTGACGCGCTTAATCGACTCCTCAACATCTGTGCTGTTGGGCGGATCCATGGGGAACAGCTTTTGCTGTGTGGACTTTGTGATGCCATCCCAGCCCAAGCCAACCGGCTGTCCCTTGTTCAGCAGCGAGGCATGGTACTGATCCTGATTCATCATCGAGTGGAAGCCAAGAATGGCAGCCAAATCGATAATCTCTTCCTGCGTGGCATCATTGAGCGCATGCTCATACTCCTCGCCCATGTCAATAGCGATCTGTTCCTCTGCCTCAATATCACGGGCATCACGCGGCGGTGGCACCCATTTCTTGCCGCGCACCTTGCCCTGCACATAGGGCTCGAACTCCGGCTGATCGGGCGTCTCAATTGCCTGCTTGTTAATATGCTCGATAAGCTGTTTGCGATTCAGCGGCCCAGTGGCATCCTTGGTGCACTCGTAGCTGCAGCGCTGATCTGGCGGCAGGAAGTTGTCCTACGAGAGTCAAAAGTTAAATAAAGCTGGCCAAATGTGTGTAAGCTTATATTATGAATACTCACATCGGGATCAACTTCTTTGGCCAGTATGGTTATCTCCTCGGGTGACAACTGCGCCAACAAGCTCTCCACGTCCACATCGTCGTATTCGCTCAAATCCTTGCCGTACAGCTTGGCCGGCGTGGTGAGCGTTGTTGTCTTTGTGGTGGACGAAGTCTGCAAATGTCGAAAAATAACTTTGGATCAGTACACTTCTTATACTCCAATTGGCATTCTTTGCCCACATTCTTCAGCAGCTTCAGGCTAGCTGGCGGCTGAGGCGCACGCCGCTTGACCCTGGGCACGGGTCGCAGCTTGATCTTCTGAAACTCAGCGATGGGCACAGCGCTCTCCATGGCGTGTCAGCGTCTTATGACACTTATTAAAAATCAATAAATGGCAAACCACAGCAAAAAAAAAATAAAAAATAAAAACTTAAAACAACAAAATTTAAATCCAATTATGCTGCTATGAAGCGGCGACTGAATGTGGTTGGCTGTGTCTGGGGCTGGGGCTCAGCAGCGACTGGCGCGCTCAAGACACCAAATTAAAGTGCAGACCAGGCCGAGACAGAAACAGCAGCAGCAACAACAGCAACAACGAGAGTCGCAACAGCCGTGCAACATTTGGTTGACGCGCGGTTTGAACCAAAAGCTGCAATCGCAACTGCCACTCAGTCAGTTGAGGCAGTCAGGCAGTCAGCTAGTCAGCCAGGGAGCCAGTGAGTCAGTGAGTCTCGCTCCGAGTTGGCGTAATCGACAGTCGGTGGCAATGTAAATTAGGCGCATACATTAAAAGCTGCAGCAGGGCCAGCGGGGGCAACCGAGTGTGGCACGCTGTCTGCACTTAAATGACTTCCACTTCAGTGCGATGTGCCGAGCATGAAATCGAAGCTGAAAAAGCCCAAGCCCAAGCTACGATTGGGTTGCAAGGGGGCCATAAATAAACAAAAGTAAAGCAGGCAAAGTTGAAGCCCCAGCGATTGATTTGCTGTGGGAAAACATTGTGCAGGGTTTTCTTATTGTCTGAGATTTATAGCCAGGCATTAATGAGGCAATTGGAAATAAAAATAAAATGCAAAACATGGCCGAACAAATAAAGCGAAACAATTGTGTAGCTGCTAACCTGGCCAATAGCTGACAAAGAGCCAGCAATTCAGTTAGCTTGTCGTGCAAGAAAATCAACTAAAAGACATGCGGCTCGAGGGCTCACAATTTACATAAAATAATTGTACAGCACGCCGGCTGGTCTGAAAGTTCTATCAAAGCGTGACCCAAACAAACAAACAGACCAACTGAACCGAACCGAACCCAAGTGAACCCAACAACAGCCAGACAAAAGCCAAATCAAAAGACGCCTCAAAAACTGGTTACAGAGGGCAACTGCGACCAAATGACGAGTGCTCCAGGAAGCGAGACTAACCACATAAACCACTTTTCGTACTTTGCTGCAACTTCAGTGCGCCATTTAAGTGAAACCGGTTTCACTATAATGAAAACAAGTAACAGCTCTCGAGTAGAAGGGTAAACGATTTCTTCATACCCTGTAAAGAGTTCTCAATACACGTCACATAGATACGACGTCATTTGAGTAAAAAGTATGTGATCCAGACATATAAAAATGTTTTCTTTTGGGAATTGGGAATTATTGTATATAAATCTATTGCTTCTCTGTGAACCGAAAAAAAAAAGTGAAAATGGGAGAAGTTTTCCAGACTTTCTGCTTATAATATATAAGAATGTTGCTTATATTACCTTTAAGATACATATTGTATGCTGTAAACCGAAATATCTTGATTTTAGGAAGTTTGCAAGAAACTATCGATAAAAATATACACTTGTTGTTTTCATACGAAAGACGAGAACCTATATTCCAAACTTCAGTACCTAGCTCTATACATGTGCACAATATTAGCATACCTTTGTACAAATTGTCAATGAGTACAGGGTATATTAGTAGCAACAACTCTATACAAACTACACAACAACTTCCAATGTTTGCTCCTCGCCTCCACCAACTCGCGGGCTAGCGAAAACCGCCCGTAAATGGTCATGTTCAAATGTAAGTATATGTGTCCAAGTTTGGCCAAAAGCTTTGCAGATGCTGCCTCCAGATAGAGAGATATGAGGTACAGCTAAATGCTGTCGATTGACCCACTTTAAAGTGAGCGGCATGCATGGAAGCGGCAACAGGGCAGCCGACAGTCGGTGCTATTATGTCAGGCTGGCTCACTGGCCGCATCTAACGGCTGGCAGAGAACAGAAGCGTGTTGACATTTCAATTGGGGGCAAACTTGGATTAATTGAAATAAACAGTTTCATTGCGAGGTGGCTGCCACATGCCGCATCAATGACGCAGTAAATGCCACGAATTGTGAATGGTCTCCAATTGTGGCGCCTCAAATGTGCCTTCCACTAACTTCAACTTGAAGCCAGTCGTTAAGTCAGGTAGCTATCGCAACTGCCACTGCGTACCACGCACAGCAATAAAATCACATTAAAAAATATAATTACAAAAATAATTGAGTTCATGGCACTCCCGAGACGCGTGCACAGCGATAGGAGCTGCTAATAAATTAGATCTGAAAGCAGGCACAGAAAAATAGAAGTGCAAATGAGCAAAACAAATGTTAAATTAAAGCAATGAGGTTTTTTTTTTCACCCAAAAGATACTTTTCATGCAAACTGTTCAAAAACAGACGTCCCTGATGCGAGTTCATGTAGGGCACATCCACTTACTCGGGTGAAATATGGGCGGAAATTTATTTTATGTAAATTTTTTTCATGTTTTTAGTTTTACTTCGCATTCATTGTGGTTCAAGGTTAAGTGAGCAACAGTTTAATATTTAGAAAGATTGGTTTCAAATGCTTTTTCAAGGCTCTATGCGCAATCCACGTAAATTGGATGGAAAAACGAGCATAAACTCGAATTGAGAGACTGGCAACATTTCAGCGCTTAATAGTTGCACTAACTACTATCTATAAAACACGCTAGTATTTACTTCAGGCTATAGCTTAGTTAACTAACACTGTTTTAAGCGTAACGGCAACTAGTTGAAGCGGGGCATGAAGACGCGCCTACCATGCAAATGCACCGTAAAGAGCATAAATAAGGTGGCGCAACGAGATATTCGTGTGCGTATATATTTTATCTGAGAGTTGTCAACGTGTTACATCGACAATTCGCCAGGTATTTAACGGATTGGCTTGGCTCATTAATTGCAACGGGGCCTTGAAACGGGAGCAGGCACTTTGATACATGTTTAACCAGGCGCTGCCATATTGCGACCCACAAAATGTGGCGTATAACAAAAATCAAAACATGTCTAATGCTGTTTTTTCGGTGATTTGCACATTTGCCGTGGCTGACAGATGAATGTGCTGCTGCTGCTGCTGCTGGTGGCCAGTGACTGGCAAGTGGGTCAAGGTGCTTAGCTGATTTAATTAAGCGGCACCAACAGCCTGCGACTCGTTGTAAAGATCACGTTTTTTCGAGCGGAAAACCAAGAAAACAAAAAATGAACCAACAAATTCATGAAACGCAAAATGCTCGGAAAAACACCTTTCCGCTTCGGGCTGCAGGTGAAAAGTTGGTCAGGCCGCAGCAGCCGCTAATGACTAATGGCTGGAAATGTGCGAACGCGCCCAAATATGGCAAAGTAGGAAGTACGCTGTGCCGCTGAGGATGTGCTCGGGCGCCAGATGCTGTGCGCGAATACCAGGAAATTGTGGCACTTGAGCAAATCACGTTGGGAAATACCAAAAAATCTTAATTATCTCTCGCAGCGCTGACGACCCGCTGTTTGCTTAGGATTTATGGCCAGAAAGCACTCTTCAAATTAGCATGAAGGAAATTGCAGGGGTGAAAGGTGTAACTGTGTGTGTGTGTGTGTGTGGAAATGGATTATCATGGTCGAGATTTATATGGAATGCAGGCAGTAGAAAAGGTCTTGCACACACACGATTATTTTTCAGCAGCTGCATCCGAAGCAAACTATGCAAAGCTGTTGCTACTTCCATTTTAAGTTATACATATAATAAATAAATTATATATTGCACCTTAGAGTAGCTCAGAGCTTTAGCCTGATGCAGTTGCAGGCTGTTGTCAAATGCAACACAATCTATTCTAGTGCTGTCAACGCTGAGCAGCATTTTTGTGGTTTCTTTCTATGTGCTTCTGGTCTCTAGCCCAGCTGTAACCACTGTAACCACAAATCACATATTCAGTGAACAGCAATATGCTTTTATAGCTTGGCAATATTTTATGCAATTTGCATGCCAGCAATAAACCCAGAAGCCACGCTCCATTGCTGCAGCTGACAGCAGACAGTGGCATCCACAGCTCAGAGCAGCTCCCATGGCAAAGAAAAAGAAGTTGACAGTGAATGAAAAATTGAATAAAAAGTAGAACTTGGCCCTGGAACTGTCTGGTAAGTTGATACCACATTGGTCACTCCAAAGCAGCCCAGTCGAGCGTTGAGTGTCGAGTCCGGAGCTGCTGCTGAAAACTGAGACGCCGATAGTTCCGTTTCAGTGCATTCGCATCCGATGGTTTGCCGCCTGATTGGGCACGCACAGCACAAACGCTGCTTAGATCTTGGCCACTCGGCATTAGCATTGACATTGCACTGAAGTGGCAAATTAACAACGGCCAAGAGCAGCTAACGACATTACAGACACTTGTGCACAGTTCCCTCCCCCTCACCAAGTCGAGAGACTGGTCCAAAACTTTCCTCGACTTCGTTTCGATTTGTGACAAAGCATTTGCACAGCTGTTGGCCAAGCAAAAACAAAAGCGAAACATAAAAGACAGTTGTCTTTGCCCCGACAAAGATTGAATACTCTTTCGGATAAATAACAGATGGGATTTATAATAGACCCATAATAGACACACTTTTATATAACCCGAATTACGTACTCACACGAAAGCTTTAGTTCAATTGTTGTATATGCTTTATAGATATTCGAAATCAAAATCATATTTATGATATAACTTTTGAGCAACTCTAAATGATAAAGTAAATGTGTAATAAAACATTTAGAAAGCTTTAGTTCAATTGTTGTTGATATTCGAAATCAAAATCATATTTATGATATAACTTTTGAGCAACTCTTAATACAAAATCTAAATGATAAAGTAAATGTGTAATACATTTAGAAACTGCTTTAAGCCCTAAA